GGCGTCTGCCATGCGTGCAGAGGGATTCACGCCATGCGTGGTGGCAGCAGCATTTTTGAGCCCTCGACAGGTCCCAAAGTGCTGTTCGTGCCACGCAGGCCAGGCCCGAAGGGCTTGGGCGAGAACGCATTTTTTGCGCGTTTACGGCCCGTCGGAGCCCCAAACAAGGCTAGTCGGGTGAGCGGCCAAAAGCGTAGCTTGAGATCTGGAACGATCTGACCACAAGCGTAGTGCTTCGATTGGCCCGTGCATTAATCCCTGAGTGCAACCGCACTCATTGAGCAGGGAAAATGCCCAACTCAACTAGGGTCCTCAGGAGATGGACATGGACGATCTCTATCGCGGTAGATCTCTTTAAGAGCTTGATCACAAGTAATATAGTCGAAGGAAATGAACATTGCCCGAGTTCGTCCCTACACGATGCCCTTTGCCCATCGCTCGACAGCCGAGATCAACGATTTCGATAAACCCACTTTGCATTACTGCCGTGCAACTCCAGCACTGCTTGCTTGGCTTCCCGGCATCCATCTCATCTTGCCTGCCGTCAGAGATGCGCACTCAGACGCACACCGAAGGAGCTCCAACACATTGATTAAAGAGATAGAGACGGGGGTGTTCTGCTCTTCTACCCCTCACCATGACTGAGCGCCCTGCTTGGTCACACAGCAGCTGAAGCGATCCCAAAACGAGGGTGCCGAGGCCTTCGCCTTATGCATGAGGAGCAGCAAAAAACATGATGGACGACAACGTTAGAACGGCGCTTATAAGTTGCTGGTGCGGCAGTGTGGGTATTTATCATACGACCCGAACATTAGGGGTGCAATTGGAATCTGAGTAAAATCCTACAAAATTCGACAAACACCAGAAGTTCACACTACTCACTAGCCAAAAAAACATCTAGAGGTATTCCATCAACACGAAGTATGTTTGGAGCCAGGACCCTCTTCAACACATGCCCGAGAGAGAGTCGCTCTCAAAGGCATCCTTGCAACCTGGACCTTGGAAAGCCTGAGCTTTAGAACAGCAACCCCAAAGCTAAAGGAAGCACGGTCTGCAATTCCTTCTAAGCAATCCGCTTCAGAAACTTTAGGGAAACCCACAGCTTGCCAGCAAACTGCGGGCATAAAACATGGTAGAAAATCTCCTTGGCAATGGAGGAGACTTACTTAAACACTCCGGACATCTAGATGGGGATTTTTCTGAACGTGGGCATTCTGAGGCGTTCGTGTCTGCAATAAAGGCGGACTGTTGGCGGGGATGCACAGGACCTGGAACTGTTTAGAACCATGTGCACGCATATCCCGAGCTTTAGCACTTCTACGCCCTTGATCAGTCAACATTTCCTGCGTAACCAGGAATAAAAGCTTCAATCAGTCCATGAGGCACAGAACTCCTGGACTGTAAATCTGCATCAGCTAAACTAGCTCCTCTAGCGAGATCATGTCGTGCAAGCCCTGCATCGCAAATGCTCGCATAAATGTAACTGACATCCCTGCAATCCCTGAAGAGGTAATTCTCGAAATTGTAATCCCGTAGCACGCACAGAAAAAAATGGCCCGCATAACGCCCCTGAGAAAGGTACAAGTATCACATCACGTCATGGGAAGTCCCTGCATTCAGCGTGCCAAGGCACCGCGGGCACAGCCATGGTGACGGAATTCACGGTCCAAATCTGAGCTTGTTAAACGTGGGTTTGGGTTTCTTAGGATCAAAGGGCTGCAGGGTTTAAGGGTGGATTCATGCTGAATGGTCTGCGATGCGCTTTCAGCATTGGGTGCAACCCGAAAGGTTTCTCGGTTTCTGCCTTGCCTGCTCAGAGGTCAGATTCGGAGGTTCATAACTTCATACAGTTTTCAACCATTAACTCAAGTTGTTGAACATAGTCGACTGAAAGTCAAGTGTTTTGCACATGAAGCCGAAACCAGTTGCCTTTCAACACGACGACACCACAAAGCTGCTCTTCTATCAGCGCCTCTCAGCCCAGGAGTAGCAGCATTAGTAGCCACAATACCAATAGTTCTAATAGTTGATAGATGGAGGCGTACGAGGAAGAGGAGGAAGTTATCTGGATTACTCGGGTGTTGTACCCACTTTGCCCTCTAAGTCAGAGCTCAGCGGCGCGATCACGTGAATCACAGCTGGGACGATGCCAGACTCGAGCCAAGCCAAGCCACATGAAACCATTCAGCGGTGACTTTCCACACACTTTCCACATCAGGAGGAGTATGGCTACATGGGGGTTGCTCCCTGTTCCTTTCCTGGCAAAGGATCTTTCGGGTATCATTTCGCGGGCCTTTTGCGTCCTTCTGCTAGTTGACCATATTCCATCAACCAACAGGAATGTCCGTGTAAGCATTACACATAGCTGGCTTTGCGGCCTGCCTTCCGAGGGATATATCTTGGACCGCAGCTAATTCTTTCGCGCACCTTTCGCGCTCCAGTCACGCGCAAACACACACACACACACACACCTCTTTTAGAATGTCGTGCTCAAAACTTTTTAGATAGGTTTTTTGAACGCACCCACCGTCTCAAAATATCCTTGGTAGTGTTGCTTGCAGCACGATTCTATAAAATAGCTTGACTCCAAGGAGCTACCAGTAGTAGCCGCCCAGGAGCGTAAGCATTGCCACCCCGCCCCCCTCCCCCCCCCAAAAAAAAAAGAGCTGCAACCTAAATCGATGGCCTTGATCAGAAATCCTGCTTTGCATTCAGATCTCTTATTCAAATGTACGCCGGCAAGGCCAGAACCATCTCGTAGCGGACAGAAAAACTTTCAGAGTTCGCATCTTTCCGCAGGGCAACGTTCTGGGGCACCACTCTTCCCAAAGGAGCTGCATACCAATTGACATCTGTTCGGCCTTGGTATGCCTTGGTCCTATAGCTGCATGCTTTGGCGTAATCAGTTCCCACAAAGTGCTTCACGGCCGCTCATGAAAAACGCGCACCTAATGTGAGATCCTTGAATGAGTTAGCAGGGCCTAAGCCTAAGCAAAGAACCTAAATTTACAGAAGTAAGCCCTTCGAAGGCACAATCAGATGTCAGGTAGATACTCGTGCTCTCTGGGAGTTCCTAACGGAGCTGCAGCTGCCGAAAATCAGCAAAGCAAACGCAACCATGTCACATCTACATTGTAAGAACACATGGCTCATGACTGCTCATGGCTTTCTAGGAAGGCCCTAAGATGGCTTCGGAAACACGGGGGCTTCCACGTGACCACCCGTGGAGAACACTCTTCTTGTTAGAAAACGAAGTGCCCCTTCCCTTTCCCGGAGTGCTTGACTCACTACCGTGCCCTACCCAGGTGCTGCATGTTGCAGGTTTCAACCTACTGTTTCTGCATGAGCTTCGTAGCCCTACTCCTCAGAAGCCGCTCGCCGCCGCTTCCGGGGCTGCTCGAGCTCCCTCCGGGCTTGCGAAGAATGGAGCTGGCAGATAATTCAGGCAGGCAGGGAAGGATTGAAATGGGATTCTCTGGGATATGCTGCCTGGAGTCTTCCTGCTCACCTTCAATACGAGATACGCCTCAGCATGTGAGGTTGGCAGGCGTTGGATTGCCAGGTCTCAGTGCAAACATGGGGTTCTCTTTCTGCTATAGAACGAATGAATGATTTTGAGCACATGCTTGCAGACAAAGGTGTGGGGACTAGCAAAAAATCAGTTTCGTGGCATAGGGCCGGGACCTGCAACCGCCTCAACTAAATAAGCAATGAAGGAGGCAAACGGAACCAGCAAAGCGGGTCACGGGTCACAAGGCTGTTGTTAAGCAAGCCAGGAAGGCAGGGATCTCTCAACTCTCCTCCTTGCCTCCTTTTCTGAAACACACACGTTCGCAAGAGCTTGTAGGACGGAACCCAAAAGGCAAAGAGCTGCAAGGCCTCTCAATCTGCTGCATTTCCCATTCGCTCCACTTCTTGCCTCGGCTAATCTCAACTGGCCTTGCTTCCTTGAAGGTTAGGAGTGCACCTGTCTCTCCAGGGGTCCTTGTGAGAGTAGTATACATCCATGCAGCATCTCCAACGTTTTGGATTTCGCGGTGACCCTATGCCCAGACAGTACAGCGACATCAATATGTCTGGAGAGCGTGACTTTTCCTGTGAGGTTCAGGGCGTGCATGCTGCCAGGCTTATGCCAGAGAAGGGAGGTTCTTAGCAAGCTCAGGGTCCAGCAGTCCAGGATCTCAAGCCAACAAACACCACAGAGGTTACACCTTGGGGTCGAGGCATATTGAATGGGCGGCACACAAGGTTTCTGCGTTAGCCAGTGTTGGCTGCATGGCAGGGTAGCGTGCCCCGCTCACATGCTGAACTGGTGTAAGCATAACGAATCACATTCAATACAAGCTCATTAGGTATACTTGCAAGCGCGTCTACTGCACCGTGCAGATAATTGTAAGGGTCAGCCCGGCATTCGTGGCAGAAGCCCACACTTGACCTCCTAATCTGCAGATTGTCCCCTGCAACAAGCCTGGAAATCCTGACAACCAAATGACAAAGAGTGGATAAGGACTTGCATTGCTGCATAACCTCAATAAATCTTGACCCAAGATCCTGTCCTAACGCTAGTTTCCGTTTTCCCTTCCAATATCATTGTATATCCCCAAGGAATCCCTATGCAAGCTATATATATATATACATATATAGCCCTATATTATGTCTACTGTACCAGGCCATATGATGCTGCTGAGGTGCCGATCCAGACTATGAGGCACCAGAAGCCAAAGAACAGGAGGCCTGTCGAGTCCACACTCCCCCCCCTCCCCCGATGTGAAAGTCTTGAGTAGGCTACACATGATGCACTTAGATTGTACAACCCCATTGCTCAAGTGAAAACATCTGGAAGGCCGAAGTGAATCATGGAAAGCCCTCAACCCAAGCCCGAGTGGGGACAGACGGTTGACTTGCCAGTTCCACTTTTGGGGGGCAAGTTAGCTCGTTGCTAAGTTCCCGACGCCGACAATTCCCTTGTCATTGGGGGTCATGGGCTGGATGCTGGGGAATGCTTTTCTATGCAAACCAGCAACTCTGATCTTAATCTGCTCCATGCCAGAAGGCTGTTTGCTGTGCTTTTTTGGGGGGGGCTTGGCTCTGGGCATCCGCCACTCTACTTCATACACTCTGACTCTATAGTTATAGTTCAGCAGCTCCGCCCACGGCCTCCCCACTGAGACAGGATCGTCTTCACAGTGGAACGTTCCTGATCCAGACCATGCAGGCAGGGTGCTAGAGCGTCAGCCTTGTTTCACGTGATGGCGTATGTACCATGATGCCGAACAACCTCCCTTCAACCTGGGTGCCTGTCAAACAAAATCTGGTCAATAGCGATTCCGAGCGTGCGTTGAATATTTTCTGTCGTTCCTGACACCTAGTGCGCAGTGGCGCAAACCTATGCTTGACCAAGCTGGAGTGCGCCTGGCAGGTTTTGCCATGAGTAGAAGAAGTCTCTCACACATGGAAGAGTCAGAGTTCCGGCCAACCACCCCCACAAAATTGGCACCTGCCAAAATTGAAGAGTCCCAAAACAATTTTGAGGTCTGCTGGATCCTTTCGTTCGTCTAAAATCAACAAGGGAAGGAAGGGGGATCCTTCCACTCTTCTTATTCTTAACTTCAAGGAAATTCAGAAGGAGAGGGACGGAAAGGGAGCAGATCAGTGAGTTTTGCACGCAAGTAATAGGAAAGGCTGGGTCCTCGGTGATGCATCTCGGCCTTTACGTTTGAAGGTCTGGCCTTCTACACCATGCTTATTGCTCTCACCATCAATCCACGATAAATCTTCCACATATTTGAGCAACCCCGCATTTTGCGTATTATTTAGGTTCAGCGGGCTTGCTGGACTACCCCCTTTGGAAGTAGATTGCCTCGCCTGATCGAATAATCGGTTGAATCACAAATCGAGGGTTTCAGGTGGCGCGCTGCTCCAAGCTGCTCCGTGAACGGCTCACCACAATTCAAAGAACCAACATGGCTGAGGCCTCAACCCGAAAGTTGGAGCCTCTGAACGTAGCAAAAGGAAGCCTAACATAGCTCTGAATGACCCCTCATCTGTTCTAGTTGCTCTGGCCTCTTACACCCTGGAGACCAGGGCCTTGATCCCCTTCAAAACCAAGTGTCCTGGTTGTTCCAGTAATCACGCTGCTCTTTGAGCTTCAAGGTCACCTGCTCCGGGGTCTCCGGCGGGACCTTCTTCTCATCCTTCCTGGCTTTGGGTTCCAAGGTTTCGAGGGTGAAGGCTCCCTGGGTCGAAGGTTCAGGTATTCGGCGTTTCAAGTAAGCGGCGTCATGCTCTGTGGTTGTGGGGTTGAGGCCCTAGCATGACGACAGACAAGTGAAACCGCTGCATTTCGGCATATATAAGTCAGCGGAGGGGAAGGAAGTAAACAGGATTTAGTAATGGCGAACGAACAGGGATNNCTTGGGCTGGAAACCGGGGCTTCTGATTGTGGCCTTCAGACAACACATATGGAAAGCTCAGCCACGCTCACCTGATTCTTTGTGTTGCGTGTGCTCAGGGCTTGCGGTCATGCAGTTCGTGACCAGTTCTTGTTGTTGAGGCCGTGGTCTCTTCTTTGAACGCGTTGACGCTTCGGGGTTGGCTTTGATTGGCATGTGGGTCTGCATATGGACACCACTCCGCGGTCGTCGAATGGACTTCATTTTGCAAACGTCTATGGCCAAGTATCCTTACACTTTACACTTTACAAATCGTTACACTGTTGTGCATGTTGCGGTGTTCTGATTGTAGCTGCCGCGTTGGCTTCGCTAGCTGTAGCTATGGCTTCGGGGCTGGGAGAGCGGTCGTATAAACAGACTTCCTAAATTTAATCTAAACAACACATATAGCCCTTGTAAAACTACTTGGACATCATCCTAGAGGTCTCCGGTTTGAGGGTGCGCACAATATGCTTATCAAGGACCTGTTTTCGGGATAATCCAATGATATCCGAAGCATGCCGGAAGACAGGAGTCTTGTGTAGCATTTGACTTGTAAAATGCAAGCCAAAAGTAGCAGGGGCGACAACAAACCTGGAACTTGGAATCGTAACCCTAAACTGCTGAGCCTACACACAACCAGTCGCGCTCAGGCTCGGACTTTGGGTTTGGGGTAGATGCAAATCCACACGACAAAGGCATGTGACACCTTTCAATCTGTGAAGCATGAGACTTGCTTTGACGTTCATGCAGATGTGATGTCTGAGGTAAGGGTTCGCTGAGGACCTGGGATTTACGCATCAAGGCTGCGGCATTGGGAATCAATGCCTGTCAGGGGCATTCTTGATCAACTTTTATGGTCTATATATAGCAAACAAATTGTTGGCATTTGCCTAGAGTTTCAAGCGAGTCAAGGAACCCCTGAGACGAATCCCCATGCCCTGACATAAGTCTGGTTACGCTACTTGCCAATTTGCAAATATGTGTTTGCAGCTACCTTGCCTCAGTGGAGACGACCTGGTTGAAAAGAGTTGGTTGGAACCCAGTAGATGCTCAACTGTCGAAGATTGGCAACATGGTGCCTACGGTCTGCCACTTCCTGATCTCCAATGGCACAGGCAAATCTAACGTCATGGGCCAGCACCTTGAATTCTCATGCGGAGCCGACTCAAACACATCGCAAACAACTACGAATGACAAATGTCCCCTAGCTGGTCAGCCGAGTAGGACCTTCGTCTGCGAATCCTTTAATGACACTTTCTGAGAATCAGGGGCTCTGACAGGAGGCATGGCACCATCTTGCAGATACATGTGAGGTCACCCCTGTAATCTCAGCAATCCAGCCTCGCCCGGGCGGCATGACGACCTGAAGCTATATTGCATTTAAGGCCTTTGTCAACTGCTGAGTTGTTGCCTGATGCCTGATGCACTGCAGCCAGAGGCTGAGAATGCACTCCGTATGTCGCTAGGATTCTGTTCAATTTCGAGGCGATGCTCAAGTCTTCAAAGAAACATGTCGTACTTGAGGACAGCACTGACACGGCCGCGGGCGAGCCGGACCTGCGCAAGATACCCTGCGTGTATATTCCAAGACACAGGATTAATTAAAACATTAGTCTGACAGAAGTGCCCCGGAAACTCCTTCCAAGTTGCCAGATGCTCCGTTTGAATTCTGCTTTTTCGAGCAGCGTTGAGGCCACTTGCATAGATGTACCAACTGGCTTTGCAGCGTTTGCTCTAAGCTTCACACGAGCCCAGTGGGCAGAACCATGGCTAATGGTGGCGCACTAGGACGATGCTGCCCACAAGAAGTTTACTTTCCGTCTTGCAGGGGTGTCAGTGTCAGATGTATGGAGTTAAGGCTTCTCCCATGCTAGTCGATTGTTTTGCTTGGGGTGGCCTTGAAGAGGATGCCGCATGAGTAGCTTCATCGTTGGTGCATGATTAAGCGCTAGAGGAACGCTTTACACGTCTGCAAGTCCCGAAAAGCCTCGGATCTTGCAGGGGTTGGATAACTCCTTAGTGAAGGTGCTGGGGAGGATGAGATGCACAGGTAAGCACGACAGCTCAAGCTGCTAACGGGACAAAAGCTGATCTGCTTCTACCATGATCTAGATACGATCTCAGCTCTATATTCTGAAGCTCAAAGCCGACAGGCATGCAGCCAACAAGCTGTCAGGCAAGCAACAGCCCTTCCGGAGCGATGTAGTGGAAAGGAAACAGCAAGAGTCATGTTCAGGCTTTTGGGCGTTGACTGCATGACCGCGTGTCAAGGCAAGATTCAGCGCTCAAAGGCCGGCTTGGGAGAATCCCTTTAGCTTGTCAGGTATTGGTGGTCAGCGGTTGCATGCTACCCATGGTAACCAACAGCCACCTTGCCGTTGGGCTTGCTACTTGCCATGCTGACGCAGAGTTGGATCGCAATTCAAACTTTCCAATGCCTGCACTTCACTGCTAGATAAACCTTCATTTGGGAAATTGTGATCTGATTCTGCTCACCCGGTTAATGACATGCAGTTCATAGGGTACTTCCCGGAAAAGGCTTTCTCAACTGTTTTCTTCCCGAAGCCCTCAGAGATGTCGTCGGACAGGCTTACTGCATGGCCGCGGAAAAAGGACACTCGTGGGATGTACCAAGAGTTAGACCAGAGATACGCACATGGTGGGAAGACCATGGGCTATGTGGCACGATGCGCAGCCACGCGTACCCTGTCAGCTGTGACGATCTAGGATCTATGAACACGGCTTGGCGGTTCATGGGTAGCAACAAGTAAAAACATGCCGGGAACGAGATCTGAAGTACACGCAAGGTATAACATGATGTTAGGAAGATTTGGTAAGCTTGCAATGACTTGCGCGAGAAGTACCCATGGACCTCCAAGTGGGAGCTTCTCATGGCAAGCCCTGTGCACAAACACAAAAGACTGGGCCCCACCGGCCACACATATTGCGCCACACCTTCCGTTGATGATTCTGCATTGAATCATAATCTAAAATCTTCACCGTTCCTCTTTCCCTACAAAGTCAAAGCGGGAGGCGGCATTTGGCCGCTCGCTATTCCTGCGCCTTGCTGTTCCAAGTTGTCCTCGGTGCTTCATGACACTGATGTTCTGCCGTATGCTGAGGGCTGACCAGTTTGAATCGCAGAGGCTTTACGCATGGCTGTTGCAATTGTTGGTAGTTTCAGTTTGCTCTGCTTGCAGTGCATTTCTACAGGGATTCACGTACTATGAGGGCAGTCCCTAGTTACATCAATTTGATCTCTGCGGGCTCAGGTTGTAGTCTGCCGGAAAGGGTGGGAATTTAAGGCAATCCAAGGAGGGCTGGTGGCCAGATTCCATATTACTGCCAGTCTGCTGGTCTTAGTACCCGAGCATTGTTTGGCACCTGGCCGTGCGAATCTTGTTACCTTACATTCACAGAATGCAAGGCAAGAAGAGCACGATTGGAGCCCGTGCTCCGCGGTTCGGAGCCCTAGCATCTCCTACTTCCATCAGGGGTAAATGCCCCAGCACCTCCAAGACTCTGATGCAGCAATGATGACAACACCCTTAAGCCCAAGGCCGAAGACTGCTTAGTTTTAACTTATAATTCAAACCTCTGAACCCGAGCCCAAAGACTCATCCCAAACACCTGTGATGCAGAACCCCGGACCACAAACCCCTCGCAAAGCGATGCCAAGCGACCCGGACTTTGTTGGCCTTCTGAAGCCACCAATCGTTCAGTGCCCTGGCAGGCGCAGTCTGGTCATCCAAAAGGAGGCATGAAACTATTTGCACGCTCTAGTATTCGGGAGGGCTCTGCGGCTTGGCATCAAGGCTTGCATCACGTAGAGGTTTGCAATGCATGGCAAAGTGGACAGCCCCGTATACAAAGCGCAATAACGGAGATCACTTTGAAACGACAGCGAAACTTGTGTGTATAAGGTCCATATGGCATCTTCTTTGTTCACCGTCTGACAATTGAGAACAATGTTTGTGCCCCCCCCCCCCCCTCGCTTTTCTTTTGCGTTGATACCGTGGCCCTCGAGGCAGGCCTCGAGGCCTGAACCAAAGGACAGACAAGCCGTTGCAAATGAGAAATCGGAGGGGCACCAAGGAAATCTCCAAGGAAGAATATGCAAGCCTTAGACGAAGGCTCTTATTGTATCAAATGGAGGGAGCTCTTTACCAGGAACAATGCTATGTGCGGCTTAGCATTGCAAAGCACGAGTCTCAAGTGTAGCTGTATGGATAGCGTGGCGGAGCGAATATCAGTTTAGCCTGTATAGTCTTACAAAATAGCTGAGCATACAGACGTACGGCGTACCGCAGCGCAGTACAGCCGAGTGTAGTACAGCACCTATACTAAGGTAGAGCACAGTGCGGGAATATGATATGGCGGTGTAGTAGTGAAGTATCATGCAGTAGAAAAGGAGCGGTCGCTTGAAACCTGGATTTGGATGGATTTGGATACTCCAATAAGAATATGAACAGGCTTGTACAAAGGCAACTTACCAAGAGGAGAGAAGTGGAAGCCAACACAGCCAACAAACAGCCCTCATTATTCAGAAGTATCTGTCTTGGCTACAACGGCTCTGCGCTGAGTCTACGCTGAGTTGTTGGGGCCATCATCGAAAGGTTGTAGGAGAAGAAGCAGAAGAAGTGCAGTCAAACAATTGCTCTGCCTTCACCTAGATCAGGACTTGGACTGAAACAACACGAAGTTCTCAGAAAAGCTTGTAAGAGGTTCTGTCATCATTTGGAATGCCAACGTCAAAAACAATCACTTTTTGGGAAGTGGCATTGGGACAAATTTCACCTGAGAAGCGATACCTGAGGCCTTGGCATAGCTCTGTTAACAGTCAGCGCTGTCAGCAACTCGCTGTGCCGAGGCGCTTGGACTAATACCCCTTGATCAAACATTGCGAGGGAAGCTAAAAGACGTGTTCCACACTTCTGAACTTCACTTCAGTGTTGCCTTGCTCGGTCTGGTGCCATCCTATCGAACTCCGGCTCCGAAGCTCTGAGTCGAAGCACGGTCCTCTCGAGGAGTGAGTAAAGTTTGGGAGCTTCGGGGACTCTAAACCTATGCTTGAGGGCTTGCGTCTGCAGACTCCTATTGCTGTTTCAGGTTTCTTGATCTGCTGCCTGCTTATCGCTGGTCGCTGGTTAGCTTCTCAGGCTTCGAGACCTCTCTGATCTCTGCAGCTTCAGTTGATCACTGCTCAAATCTGCAACCTCAAAATCTGAAGCTGTCCAAAGCCCACATCCGGAAACTCACGACATCACTTCCCAGTCCCACGAACCTTGAGAATCACAACATCTCTGGCACTCCACAGTGTGTTCATGCATCCCTGCAAGTTCCTGACAGACCCTCAGCCTTTAACAACCGCATCTGCAAACACTGAAACAAGCAGGGATTCTAGACCCGGTCTTAATGCATCAATCACAGTACTGCTACGACGAGCTGAGCCTTTCTCCTACCTTTTTTGAAGAACTCTGGCCTCAGCGGCAACGATGCCACGGCCGTGTGGGCCCTCAACGGCCCATCTAGGGCGTCTCTCGCTTCTCCAAGCTGGCGTGCGAGGTCTTTTGCAGTTGTTGGCTTGGGGTTTGGGTACAGGGTTTTCGGGAGGGGGTCTTAAGGTTGAGAGGGTGACATGGTAGTCTCTAGCAATTAGATCGTCCATGCGGTTTGGGCCTTTGCACGCGCATTGGGGGAGCTTGCATGAGCATGAAGGTGGTGAATAGCAGCTACGGCAAACCTCGAATCTTCACGGGGGACTGAAACCATCAACCCTTTCAACCTCAAATGCGGGTCCTACGTCGTCACCAGTGTGTCCAGGCGATTTTGGCTCTAAAATGAAGCACCGCTGCTGCTTATTGTTGCGACGGTTTGCCGCGGATGTAAGATTTGAGCTCGAGTCTGTGGTTCGTCTATGGTGATCACCATGCAGCATTGTAGACAGCGCTTGGGCCTCTTCCCCAGGGCGGATGAGTCAACCATGCTACGGTATGCCAAAGCAACCCACTTCTGGAACAGTTGTCAGACCAGTTATAGAAGTTATTTTGCTGGCCAGGCAGATGCCAATCGAGTGATCACCCCTGTGCAATCAACGGACCCGGCCCCATATGCACAACCCAAGATAACTCCTGAACCTCTCCTATTGAATGCCAAACTCAGATGCTACATTGACCTCGTTTCAGTTGCGACCCCAGCCACGTACGACCCCGCCCGCCTTTCGCAAGACTTCCGTTTGCACCAGGCCATGGTCGTGCTTCTTGTTCGCCTACCAGAACTTCGGGGGAGTATGTATGGTCAATTGGGATCTAGAATGTAGATTTTAGAGACCTAGCAAGCCCACATGTGTAAAATAAATGCCCTGATGGAGTTTGAAGCTGATTTCCGCTCTCTTTCTTGAAATTTGCTCGATCCATCTTTTTTTGGAATAAGGGGTTTCCACACTCAAACAAGATTTGCTCGATTCATAGCTCTGCAGGTTGGAAGAATCGCTCGATTCCAAGTGCTTGTTTTGGCCCAATTCCGGCCTATTGTAGAGTTAACTGTATGATCTGCAT